TGAGCGGTAGTTCGATAGAGCTCTAGGCCTCTAAATTTTCTTGAATCGCAAAAGAATGCAGATTTTTTATCTTTCTAGAAAAAAAATGTAAGGAATGCAGATCTAAAGTTTTTAAGAGTATATGCTGTGTAAATATAAGCTTTGTTTGGGATCACTTTCTTACTTCTTTTCAAATCAACTCTTTAGTATAAAAATTTTAATTTTACAATTAAAAAATTGTTTTAATAAATAATAAAAAAAAACCGTCCCAAACAAAACAATAATAATCTTCCAAATTAAAGCACTTCAACTGACAACCCTTACTAATTCTATTGATCATATGCGGTTCTTTCAGTATTTAAATTTTCGAATCATTTGCTATACGCTCATTCTGTCATTTATTTTACTCATAAAAATATGAAGTTCTTCCAAAGGAACAATAAAATATTTCAACAAGAGCTCAAAAGGACACTCAAGCAGGAGTTTGAACAGCTGAATGCTCCTCACGCCCATATATTAATTTTCAGCAAAACGTCCCAACTCATCTTGGTCTATCTTCTAGTACAGCTCTATGGTAACATTCGGCCAATATTGATGAAGTTAGGCAACAATTTATTTGAATTTATTATGGACATTCAATGTAATTAAATAAATACCGTAGTAGCAGATTTTATTTTGTAACAAATATTGATTATGATTTATCGTATAATTAATTTATTTTTTTCTTATATATAATTAGAGACCATTTATCGCCTATGGCATTATTCCATCATGCGAGAAGTTAACTGTCTTATGAGTTATGATTATTCCCAATATGTCAAATAAATGTCTCAGAATATTACACTGACGTTTAAACCACCTTACAAAGCCTTTAGAATTGTTTGCTCTCAAATCTGAGGAGGAAGCCATTAAAACAATTTCGTGGCTACCTTCACTCAGGTTCTTGCCCACACTAGGCTCCTCTTGGCAAACTTTTAATGATAATTTTCAGGAACGTCAGCAATGGCCTTTGTTCAATCTCCTCTTGACAAAAATATAATAAAATCTTCCTGGTCACCCTTCGAGTGTTCTCGGCAAGACATGGAAAGTACATTCTTGTCTGTAGGCTTCTTAGATATAGGGGTGTCAATTCTTGTCAACGGATCGTATTCAGGCCAAATCCGACTGTTTTTTACCCGACCCGATTCAAGTTTCGGGTCAGTTTTTCAAACCCGAATCCAACCCGGCTCGGGTTTAGGTCAACCCGAATCGACACGAAGGCGAAACTGGAAGAAGAAGTGCACGAATGGTTGTTGGCAGGCCGAACTCCGGCCGCCAAAGAAGAACGTGAATGGCAGACCGACAATCAGTGGGCGGTCATGACAAACATGGATGAGAGGCCGTGCGAGGCAACGACACCGACGAGCTCAAATCGAGATGTGACATTGCAACTGACGGAGTGACGGACACGTCAGATGAACCAGTGGATCATGGACGATCAACTGCAGAGGCGGCATGACTTACGAAGAGCAGTGATGACCTTGAAGAAGGCGAAGAGACGCATTACGTGATTGAGTGCGACTCGACGCGTTGAGCAACAGGTCATTTCGCGAGTAGGGCGGGCAACAAACTTGGGCAAAATCATTTTCATGTCATTTCCGATTTTCGGGTCAATCCAAACCCGACCCGAAACTCAAATCAGGTCAGATATTCAAACCCAAACCCGACCTACTTGCTAATTGGGTCAATCCGAATCAGGATTTTTCCGAGTTAGATTTGAGTCGGGTTTCAAGTCATGTCAAAATTTGACACCCCTACATATATGTTCAGAAATTTTGGTTAACCTTCTCAGCATCTCAGCAAAGCTTTTGACCACCTCGGCAACCTTCTCGTCCACTCTGATAATCTTCTTAAGAACCTCGAAGACCTTAATTCTAGAAAAAATTCTCTTCCACGACCAGTCCTCTCATAGAGATCGAAGTGTTTCTAGTAGCCTCTCTTAGTTGCATACAACTCAGGCCTCCTAACATCATTTGAGATTCATAAGCTAGTAAGGTAACACTTCGGTATGTTTGTAATGGTTTTCTTATTGATCATCCACCACACTACCATTTGAATATTGCTTTACCACTCTTTCTCAAAAATTTATGTGATTGGAACTACTTTTAGAATCAAATTTAGAGTATATCTTGAAAAAAAATATATATTGTCTAACTTACTCAAATGTATGAATATGTCAGTGGCTTGGTTAAAGGTGCGCTCATTGATGGCTCAGGTGCACTTGCCAAAATCAGGGGTCACTCATCAGAGGCCGAAATACACTCTCTAGGAATTCTCCATAAACTCTCCAAGAACTCTCCATATTTGCTATAAACTTGTGAGATTTATAGTAAACTCACTAGACTCCTAATCCCACTCAACTCTCATCACTCACTACTTATTGCTTGTCAATCAGTAGGCCTAATCAGCACTCATCACTCGATAAGCCCACTTGCCATTAAAATATCATTACTCGGCGTGCCCGCTTGTCACTCATCACTCAATGTGGGTCCACTTACCATACATCATTTAATATGCCTATTATCTACTCATCACTTGATGAACCTATTCTCCACTTATCACTCATCATCCAGCAGGTCCACTTGCCACTCACCACTCGTTATTTCACAGGCTAACTCGCTACTCGGCGTGCCCTAGTTACTTATTACTCAGTGAGCCCACTCAATCCTCGTTACTTGTTAATTAATAGGGTCACTCACGGCCACTTGTCACTCGTCACTGAGCGGATCCACTCGCCACTTGTCACTCAACAAGCACATTCGTCAAGCTCAGTCTATGGGCTTCCAACTAGTGACTATACACGACAATTATCCACATACATTTTTATATTTTCTTGACAACAAATTTTTTTTGCTACATGACATATGTGAATAAATATATTTCAGGTAGGAGCAAGTCATTATTTATGCACCTGAAATCAATAATAAAATTCTTAGAATCTCTCTTTCATTAATTATTTTCTCTATTTTTCTCTGAAGCCATTGTTTTGCTTGGTTTATAAGTCTTGGAAGTAAAATTTTGATGTTGTCCATGAACAAATATAAATTGAATGATACCCACAACCATTTTAAAAAAAGGTTATTTTTTTACAATAATTTTGCAACAATCATTGCAAAAAACTACAATCCCACTAAATGGACCATTAATTTATTGAAATGCATTTATTGACTTCTATAGATACAATTCAATTCATTCAACTTCTATAGACACTTTTCATATTTTATTTCGCTCAAATTATTTCTTCCTATCATGTACTCCTAAATAACTCATGTTGTATAACACATTTTATCAGGCAATTGTATTTCGTTGTTCGCATCGGATGTCGTTGTTTTTTCTAATAGGTTTTTTATGTTCTTTTTTGAGGAACATAGAATCCGACGTCCTATGATCGCCCGAAAAATATTTGACATATCAAGGAGATTTCTCCCCCACCTAGTTATCAAATAACAAGAAAATCCTACTGGTATTCAAACATTTTGAGTGCTGAGAATGACAAAAACCCATGATATTACTCATAATTCTACCAAGATTTTGCTACTCACTAGCTAGCTAGTTCCCACACAATCACCTAACCCAATGATTTCGAACAAAACGGTCTTTAGTTTACATACATAAACTTTTATAATGCACTGCAACATGGGCCCATTAAATAATATATTTTACTTTAATTGAATGCTATATAAGTTTAATTTAGTTAAGTACATTTTGAATACAATATTTCAAAAAAAAATGTACATTGTATTCTTGAGGGCAGCGTGATGAAAAAATTGCAAGTTTTAGAGTAAAGATGCGTTATGCTTATGTCCTAAGGCGAGATGGAGGTACATGTTGATAATGGTTGTTGGGCAAACTATTATGCCCTTAGAATCATAATGATCTGTTTACTGAATAACGACATCTTAGAGAGAAGATGGAAGATCATCATGCATGAAAGCCAAAGATGGAGGCATGATGGATAACAATGATTTGATTTGTGATAAGGAAGAGAGATAAAGGAAGATCACAGTGGGTTGTGAGACTAAGATTCTAGAAAGCAATGGACACATATCTAAAAATTATTATTTTTGAGCAAAGTTCGAATATTATTAAAAAAAATAAGAGCAATAATTGAACATGAATCTCACAAACCTGAATTTATTTAAATGTATTGATTTACTTATGCAAATAAAATTTGACTCATTTCACTTCTATAAACACATTTCATATTATACTTCCCTCAATCTATTTTTTGAGGACAACATGATGCAAAAATAATAAGGATTAAGGGTCAACATATAAGAGATGTATGTGCCCTAAAGAGAGATGGAGGTAGATGTTAATAATGGTTGTAGGGCAAATTATTATACCCTTACGATTATAATGATCTCATTTATAGAATAGCAACAGCTCAGAGAGAAGAGTGAAGTTCATCGTGCATGAAAGGCCAAATATTGAGGCATGATGGATAGCTGCGACTCGATTTGTGATAAGAAAGAGAGATAAATCAAGATCTCAATAGGTTGTAGGAAAAGATTCGAGAAAGCAATAGGTACAAACTGAGAAATAATCTATTTTCGAGCAATGTTCAAATATTATTCAAATAAAAATTGAGCAATATTTGAGCACGAATCTCACAAACTTGAAACACGATTCAAATATATTATTACTTTTTAATTTTGTTTTGATTAACACAACATTCTCATAAGATTTTATTATTTTTCACTTTTAATATGACAAATATTATTTTATTTTATCTTATAACAGAAATAAAAAAAATAAATAAATAACAACTATCCAAACAAACACTAAATAAACATGCTTCACATGCCCTCAAAGTACCAGCGGTGTGGATCCAACCGTCGGAATTCCAGACGGTTGTGCAGGAATTTGGCTAATTCCAACTGCCAACGATTTGCTCACGTGCGCCGCAGCACCATACCCTCAGCTATTTCTCCGCTTCACCTCCCTGCTCTCACTCTCTCCCTCTCTCTCACTCCCTCTTCACCATTCTTGCACCTTTCTCCCCCTCGCCGGAACTCCAGTCGCCGGCGTTTCCTTCTCCCCTACAATGAGGCTGCTTCGCAAGCAACATCACCAGATTCCGTCCACTTCGTCCCCAAAGCCCTCGAAGCCGCCGTCGCGATCTTCCTCCGTCGCTCGATCAGCGGCCTCTTACCTCCTCCGCGAGCAGCGCCTCGTCTTCCTAATCGTCGGCATCCTCATCGCCTCCTCCTTCTTCCTCCTCCAAGCATTCCTCTTCTCCAGGCCCTCCCAAACTCCCCCTCGCCACATCTCGCCTCTCAAGTCCTCTCACTTCTCCTCCGCCGTTGTAGCGAGGCCTATGATACCGATTGGGCTGAGGAAACCATCATTGCGGGTTCTGGTAACGGGCGGGTCGGGTTTTGTTGGCAGCCATTTGGTGGACCGATTGATCGATAGGGGGGATAGCGTGATCGTCATCGACAATTTCTATACGGGGAGAAAGGGGAATGCCGTCCATCATATTGGCAATCCAAGGTACGAGTTGATACGACACGATGTCGTTGAGCCAATCCTCGTTGAAGTCGACCAGATTTACCATTTGGCTTGCCCGGCGTCTCCCGTTCATTACAAGCGTAATCCGATCAAGACAATCATATCCTTCATTTTCAAATTTGATGGATTTACAATACTTCCAATTGTTTATCTATTTGTTTTTTAATTTGAACGAATTCAAGCATATGCCAGTTTGGTCTCGTCCAAAATAAGTTTGGTTCTTTCGTTATGTTTAATTTGGGATTTGCATTTCAATGTAATAAATGCGGAAAAAAATTCCTTTATGTTAGTGTTCTGTTTGAACATTTTTTTTTTCCTGGAGAAATAAAATTTTTATTGTAAATTGTATTAAGATAGATTTAAATTTTTTTGCTTTTTTTAATATTTGTGTAATATAAATTTTTTATATGTAATACTAATATTAAAATAAATGCAACATTTTTTTAAATTTACTTAAATATAATTTTTATAAGATATATAGCAATAATAACAACGAGCATTTATCATACTGTGAGATCTGCTACATTAATTCTTTTTCTCCAGTATGTCTTCTTAAGGTTCAAATTTTTAGTTATGTGTATAATCATATAGCGTAGCATTGTTGTGTACCCGGGCATTGAGGCTCTGTATAATTTGCTTGGAGATACACAAAGAGCAGAGCGCTGCGAAGCTCAGGACCCCGGCATTGTGACACTGTCTGGCATAAAGAAGACAAAGATGAGCGTCGCCTAGGGCTCTCAATATTGAACCCGATCCGAAAATTTCGGGTTTGGGTTGACCCGAACCCGAAGCAGGTCGGGTTCGATTCTGAAAAACCGACCTGTTTGCAAAACCAGGTCGGGTTCGGGTTGACCCGGAAACACGGAAATGACCCGAAAAAACTGTTCATTGCTTTGCTTCCCGTCGTTGGCTTGAGTTCACAGCCAGCGAACTGTCGTCGCTGCATCCTATCAAAATGTTAAAACTTCCGATCCGACGGGAAGAGAACGTCGTCCAAGGAGCAAAGTCGAACAGCAATGAAGGAGCCGACGTTGGCTCGAGTTCACAGCCAGCGAACTCTCGTCGCTTCATCTGATCAACATGTTGTAACTTCCGAGTTCCGATCTGACAAGAAGAGAACATCATCAAAGGAGCGAAGTCGAACAACAACGAAGGAGCCGACATTGGCTCGAGTTCACAGCCAGCGAACTCCTGTCGCTGCATCTGATTAAAATGTTGTAACTTCCGATCGGACGAGGAGAGAACGTCGTCCAAGTAGCGAAGTCGAACATCAACAAAGGAGCCGGTGAGGGCCGCGAGTTCATATCCAGAGAACTCCCATCGTTGCATCTGATCAAAATGTTGTAACTTCCGATCCAACGGGAAGAGAACATCCTCCAGGAGCGAAGTCGAACAACGACGAAGGTGCAAGCGAGGAAGCAATGGCGCGAGCGAACTTCCGTCGTTGCTTTCGTGCTTCCAATCAAAATGTTGTGCTTTCGATCAAAATGTTGTGCTTCCGATCAAAATGTTGTACTTCCGATCTCATGGGAAGAACGTCGTCCAGGAGCGAAGGTGAACAACGACAAAAGGTGTCAAACTCATTTACGGGTTGACCCGAACCCGAAGCGGGTCGGGTTCAGGTCTGAATAAGCGGGTCGGGTTCAGGTCCGAATAATCGACCCGTTTGCAAAAAACGGGTCGGGTTAACCTGAACCCGAATAGTGCCGAGTCAATTTCGGGTTCAACCTGAACCCGGCCCGTGGCCCGAAATTGACACCCCTAGCGTCGCGCGGCTCTCCAAATCTGACGCTATGGTTCTGTGAGGCAGGCTAACAATTTTCTTACTTTTTTTTTTTGAAGGGTTGAGTCCCTTTAGTTTTAAGGGAGTTTCTCTTTGTTTGTTTGTACAAAAATGGTGCAAGGGTGAAGAGAGACAATGAGAGAGCAAAAGAGAAGAGAGATTTGTACTCTCTCCCAAATTTTTTGTAGTGAATTTCTTACGCCTGGTGTGTCTTTGTGATTTTTTTTCCAAATTTTGTATTTTTTCACATTAAATCTTAGTGCTCTTTATTTCTGTTGCATTTTCTATTTCTTATTTGTATTCGTTAGGTGGTTTACTTCCCAACAAAATTATCATTTAAATTTAATAAAAAATAACATTTCTAATATTGTTTAGTCAAGTCCTTTTAGGTTTACCTCTATCTTTTTTAATATAAGCCAGATCCAATGCATCTACTCTCATAATTGGGTAATTAGAAGTCCGATGTTTTATGTGTTCAAACCATCTAAAGTGACTCTCAATCTTATATGCCACTGGAGCGGGCTACTCCAACTTTTTACGTATATACTTGTTTCATATTCTGTCTCTAAGAGTGAAGTCGCTCATCCACCCGAGCATCCAGATATATTAATATATTTTTCATTATTGAATTTCTTAGCTAATATTTTTTATTATATAGTGATGTATTCGAATATCCACTAGCATGGAAGTGGCAAAAATCAATTACCATGTTTGGGTAGAAAGCGATTTTGTTTTCTTAACCCTAACCCTGATTACAAGACAAATGTGATCGGAACCTTGAACATGTTGGGCTTGGCAAAGAGAACTGGAGCTCGGTTTTTATTGACAAGCACTAGTGAGGTTTACGGAGACGCACTTGAGTACCCGCAGAAGGAGAATTATTGGGGAAATGCAAATCCTATTGGTTCAATAAAATTACTTCCTTTTAATTTATTGATTACCTACCTTTCAAAAAATTTCTTGAGCTGAGCATCTATAACTCTTTTAGGTTTATTGTTTCTCATCTTCTGATGATAATTAAAACCTTAGTGTTTGTACTGTTTCAGGTGTTAGAGGCTGTTATGAAGAAGGGAAACGAGTTGCTGAAACTTTAGCCATGGACTACCATCGTAGCGCTGGTGTGCAGGTAACTATTTAGCATTTTTTATAGCCATCTTATATATGGGTATATATTGGTTTTGCCATTGAACCATATGTTGCAATAGGGGAAGTCCAACCCTGATATTACTGATAAAAATCTAGCCCATATTATATGAGGTATTGCTCACTTTGGTCAAATTTGTCTCCTATTAAGTTGAATCTTATGATTTTATACTTTTGATATAACTCCAAAGGATATCCCATTTCTTATAAATACTCCGTTATCAAATAAATTTTATATATTACCCCAAAGTGCATATCACATATTTTTAATAACTATAACTTATATAATCAAAAACCTTTCTTCTCATTCTGATGTGAGATTTAGTTCTTTTATGTCCCTTTTTTTTAGAAGAATAACATTTTAGAAGTGTACCATAAGTTGCTCCTTATTATAGCCTCAAATCCGACCATCACTCCCCACCCTCTTTGGATTGCCTTCTTCATATTCAAGATGTCACAAATCATTTGCATTTAGCCTCTAGTTTGAAACACTAAAGTAAGAGAATTTTTTTTTCTACAAGGTTACAAAAAGATATATTTAAATGGTTGATTTTATTGTTTTAATGGATTGCTCTATCAATCATATAAGATAATGTTTCATTATATGGTTTTTTTATAGTGAGATACTATCAACTTAATTATTTAAACTAAAAGTCAAAGATATATAACATCATGAAATATCCATATTTTCAATTAATCTGACTTCTACATTTTGTGTGTCAACATGGAGAAATGATTTCCTCTATATTGCTTGCTTGATTTCTATTTTGCTAATTTGTTTTTGATCTTTCCTTGTGTTAGTTGACCTGAAGCTTGCATACTTAGATAATTGAGCTCCACATATTTTTTTATGAGAATATAGCATTTAATCTAAATGTGACCATTTTTCAGGTACGCATTGCACGTATTTTCAATACCTATGGGCCTCGTATGAGCATTGATGATGGACGTGTTATCAGCAACTTTGTTGCCCAGGTTTCCCTCGCCCTTTAGTGTGGCCATAAACATGTTTCGTTTACGATTAAATTTGCTGACAGTACCCTTTAACTAAAGAAGAAGATGTGTTGTGTAGGCACTCCGAAGAGAACCACTGACTATCTATGGTGATGGAAATCAAACACGAAGTTTCCAGTATGTTTCTGACTTGGTATGAATTAGTTGTCAACATTTTCCTTTCATCTAATGAATTTCACAAGCTCTATTTTTCCAGCAATTTTACATGGAATGATCCTTCTTTTTCGTTTCCTTCATCCAACTGTTAGTATTTTGGTTCAATTTCTTTTTTAGTTATAGGTGTACTTTCTTTAGGCATTGTGATGGTAGTAGGAGTTTGACTTGGTAGTTTTATTTCTCATTTTTCTTGTTTATCTTGAAGGGTTACATCTCTTGGTGTAATTTAAGTGTCCCTTTCTCTTTACTGTGTATGTGAATAAATTTTGAAGTGAAGAGAGACAAAAAGAGCATGAAAGAGAAGACATATGTACTATTTCTTTAAATTTTCATAATGAATTATTTGGTATGATGTGGCTCTGTGATTTTTTTCAGATTTCAAATTTTTCCCCATTATATCCTGCTGTTCTTTCATTTCTGCTACATTTTCTTTTTTCTTGTTTGTATTTACTCTGTAATTTTACTTCCCAAACAATCACTTCCAAATTAGCTTCCTTTCCTAGTTCACTATCTACTGCAGACTAATGTGATTCAAACCAATAGTATAACTTGTTGATGCATGCAGTCTTCTCCTAACATTTTAGCACAAAAGTGCAAGAGTGCTTTCTTAGGTTTGTGATTTGCAAAACAAATATGGAGTCTTACATGGTAACATGATCATATTTTTCATCTTTAACCTACATCCTATGACATGTTATGGTATTTATTGATTCACATTTTGATGTGTTAGATTGCTGGATTAATCAAGCTGATGGATGGTGAAAATGTTGGACCTTTTAATCTTGGAAACCCGGGAGAATTTACTATGTTAGATCTGGTTGAGGTCTGTACATAAATTAAAGGCTAAGGTTTCATTTGAGGTGGCTTCCTTACTGCTTCATAAAGCAGTTTTTTAGTACAAAATTTAAAATTTTTTAGCTAAAAAATTGCTTTATAAAACAGTGAGAAAGTCGTCCCAAATAAAACCTAAGCAAATATTCTTTTTGAAATTATTCTTTTTTCTGCATTACTAACGTTTCTCTGTGCAGGTTATCAAGGAAACAATTGATCCAAGTGCGACAGTAGTTTTCAAACCCAAAACGGCTGATGATCCCCATAGAAGAAAGCCTGATATCACCAAGGCCAAGCAGCTACTGAACTGGGAACCAAAGGTTCCACTCAGAGAAGGTCTCTCAATAATGGCCAAAGACTTCCGCAGAAGGATTCAAAACGAGTAAAACTGAGCCAAAGACATCGAAGTACAACAACCTTGCGATCATGAGAGAAGACAAGGGCTGACTATCTAATTTTATTTTCATTTTACTTTCTTTTCACAATCTATTCTTTATTCTTGAAATATAAGGGGCCCTTTGTGATCACTTTATGGTTTTGCTTTATTTATATTTAATATAAAAAAAATTAGTATATTAAATAGGAGTTATTTTTTGGTTTTATTAAATATTACATAATTTGATTTACACGGCTATTACGGATAGGGGTGTTGACCCGAAAACCCGACAAAAACTCGACCTGAAAACTTCGGATTAGGGTCAACCCAAACCCAAAACGGGTCGGGTTCAGGTTGACCCTTTGACCTGAAATTGATCCGTTTTTTACAAAAAACCTGTTTTGACCCGCAACTTGAGATTAGCTCATTTTTTACCCGAAAGCGAAGATTAACCCGTTTTGGGACCCGAAACTAGCAGTTTTTTTGTTGACACCGGGTCATTTGGGTTGATTCGATTGATCCGAACTCGAAGCGAGTCGAGTTCGGGTCCGGAAAACCGATCCGCTTGCAAAAATGGGTCGGGTTCGGGTTGATCCGAATAGTGTCGGGTCAGTTTCGGGTTCGACACGAACCTGACCCATGACCCGAAATTGACACCTCTAATTACGGGAATGGGATGATAGTGGTCGACCACAGGTGGTTGGGGAGACAAATAGTGCATCATAATGGGGGCATGAAATGGTAGAGTTAGTACCTGTAGGTTGGTCGGTCGAGGCAATTTTTATTTTAAAAAATAATGAAAACATCTGAAAATTGCCTTTAAATTGTTTGTAGTATTTAAAAAAAATTAAGTATGAAAAAAGAAAAAAAATAATTTAAAAATACAAATCAAACATATTTTTTTATACATAAAAGTTAAAACTAATTTCAAGCTGGTAAAAGAGTATAGTAGAGTTCACATAATGCCCAGTATTATCTTGACAATGTAGTGTTACAAAATTTCTTACAAACTGTTTGTCTCCTTTTAACTTTTTTCTGGTAAACTGAGTTAGATGTTGTTAAGAAATTGGGAGGAGTAATCTTTGAGATCTTCTTTCAAGAGAAGGAGAAATATAAGCTAAGGGATGACAGATTTTAGGAGGAAAATCTTTCTAAAGCTTTATTTAATTTTTCCCAAATTAATCATCAGCCTACAATGCCTATATATAGACATTTATATTATTGTGGAAACCTACAAGAACAATCTAACTAAAAAATTAGACCAACACTTCACAATCTTCACATTGATCCAAATTTTTCAATCAAAGAACAATCTGTGCGCCTGCTACGATCTGACCGGCTCTCTGCACCAACGCTTTTCCTCTCATCCATAAAAGTTGTTCTGTTTTGCAAATGGGAAAGTATTTCTATTCATATCAGGCCCAGACTAACAGATATACGGTTATGGGTCAGCACAAAAAAAAATATATAATTTAATTCACCACAATGGGAAAGGTATAAAACCAGAGCAATGATTCAGCGCATCATCTTAGAAAGAAGTGTTAACAACAACAAAGTTTTATCATCTCTTACACCAATTTTGAAATCTTCAGCAATCAGAACTATCATTCAACCCTTGTCATCAAACAGTTCAATTGGAAAAGCTAATAGGACCAATGAGCAATAACAAAACAGTGTAATAACTTCCTTCTCTTGAGAAGGAAGCATTTTCTAATATCAAAAGGTAAATATAAAACTATGGCACTGATCCCTTCTCTCAATTCTTCACAAAATCTGATCATTTTTCATACCTAAGATACACATTAAAGAGAAGCTTCTTTACATTTCCCTTCACCTCACAACCAACAGATTTCACAATGGCAAAACCATTAGCGTCTTTATACCTTCCACTTCCACCTATAACAGAAATTTCAGACTCCATTAGACCTTTCTGATAAACACCAAAGAATCTCAAGCTATCACTGAGATTACCATTACTTGCAAAGCTCGCCTTCATAGCCACCATATATCTGCTATCATCCTTTGAACCAGTAACATACAGTCCTTGAATCTTACCGACAATCGCCGCTCTATGATTACTACAATTTCCAGCCAATTTTTCATCAATCACAGTCACTGTACCTGACACCAATGCTTTCATACAAGCCAGAAATGCCCACCAACTGGCCGGAGAACCATTTCTTGGGTTGTATGGTACTCTATATTCGTGACCCAAAAGGCCAATGAAATCATGGCGAGGAACATGATTATTACCGTTTTTCAGTGCTGGTTCTAACGAGTTTTTGTTGTTTTCCAGTATGTTGTTGATGAAGAAGGCAATCTTGTGCTCTGTATTAGAATGGAACTTAGAAGGCTCTGCGGTTGCTTGTGATGGCTTCTTATTGATTGAGACAAAGGAAGCGAGAAAAAAAAGATGGGCCAGAATATTTTCCCATGCTGTAGTGCTTAAGTCGCAAAGATTTGGAAACTGAATGAGCTCAGGATTTGCAGGTTTCATATGTTGACAAGAGAAGGATAGTGACTAAATGGAGTTAGGTAATTTGATTTTATTAATAATATTTGCATGTATACTTACAAGAGCTTAACTGCTCCATCTCATCAACTCCATTCCAGAAGCAAATCTCATTTCTTCCAGAATTGTCAAAAGTAAATAAAATGATATCCACAGATAGTGCTTCGGATCATTATATAAAGTATGATAAGTGTTATGTAGAGTGAAGATGTCATCATCACTTTCTATGAAAGAATAAGGCTTTCTTTGGAATAGCTTTTTATTTCTTTCTAAAATATTTTAAGTACAAAAATTCTAACGTAAAGAGAAATGAACCTTCATCAGATTCTTCATATTATAACTCATCTTATCATAAAAATAATCAAAATCGCAATGCTTCCCTTTACTACATCTAAGGTGAAACTCCAATGATAATAGGATAATAAAGGAAATCTATTAATAATGCCCAGGCTTTAAATTTTTGCAAAATTATATTTTAAATGTCTTCAGATTGATAATTATGCAATTGAATGACCTAGTAATAAATTATACATTGATGTAGAAGAAAATGGAAAATGAATGTTAATGAAGAATTATGTGATTCAAAGATGCTTTAATGGAGCATTAATTAAATAGTTATGAGATTTAGTATTGTGACTTCTAATTAAGTTGAATTTGATTGTTAAAATTTATTATTTCAAATTTATTTTAAGTATGATGATAAACATTGTAACCTTAATATATACAAATAGAAGTTGTATGAATATTATGGTTAATTTTGTTGGGGATGAAAGTAAATCACATGATGAAAACAATCAAGAAAGTAAAAACAGCGGAAAGTAAAGAACTCCGATTTAATGTGGAAAAATATCAAAATCAGGAAAAAATATGAGCCACACCACACCAAGAAATCCACTATAAAATTCGGAGAAATAATTACAAATGTTCTTTTCTCTCTCACTCTCTCATTGCTTCTCTCATCTCTTACACCATTATCTCACTCAAAACAAAGAGAAAGATAATATAATAACATCAATAGACACCACCATGAGAAAAATGAGAAAAAAAAAGCATTCCAATCTGTCTCACAACGTGCGACGCCAGCTTGAAGCGCTGCAGCTCTTAGACCTTTGATCTTGATCCGTCTGCCAATATTGCGGTTCTCCTAACCCTCAGCGTTGCGGCACTCCACAGTGCTGCAGTGCAAAATTTAGAGCGTTGTGACGCTATGCTCTCTGTCATTTCTCCCAACAAGCTTTGCAGTGTCAGGGCTCTTGGGAATACAACATCGAGGTGCTCGGGTACGTACACAATACTGTGGCATTTGCACAAGAAAAAAAAATTCTGATTATTTGTTACTATTAGAAGCATACAAATACTAGTGCTCTAATTCCTAAATAATTTTTTTATTTGTCATATTATAGGAAGAATGCTAAAGATATTGAAGTTATCATTTAGAAGATATGAACATGAGGTATTTATATAATTTAAATCACTTAATAAGATAATGATTCATCTAGAAATTAGTTGGTAGAAAAAAAAAAATGTAAAGTTCTACAATAATTGGATGAAAAATCACAAAAGAAAATCTTATATTAGACAAATTTTTGTAAAATCTGATTTGACTCTATATCATGAATTGTCAATTACTTTCTTATATTCTTCTCTCTCTGCTATCTGCGCTCCTTCATGATTTGCATCCAATCATTCTTTTAGATAATAACATAGAAATTATAACCATCATCAAAAGCAACATGTGCATTTTCACAACGAACTTATAAAAAGTTCATTAAATATGCTATCAACTTGATAAATATTAAATCAACATTATACTAAAATTTAGCTGCCTATGAGTGTTTTCTTCTAGTATAATTTTTAGCTCTTATGTTTTCTTTTAAATAGAGCATTTTGTTATGTATTAAGTCCCTATTCATAATTATTTTTGTGACTAACAATTTATTGAAAGATTTTTTTTCGCTTCTTTTTTTTTCATACAACAACCATAATTCCGCTTGGCTGCTTTTCTCACTATTTTTCAAAAATTTCTATAGAGAAAAAGTTATTTTTAGCAACCATAATAGACAGATAATTTTCTCAGAACTTCACAATAAATTATATTTGATGACGCATCATTTTTTTTTAATATTCTGGACATGCTTGATAGCAATTACAAAAAATAGCACTATATTGGAAATAATGAGTTTAAATACTTTGAATAGAATAATGTTCCAGACATTTTCTTGTAGTGACTGTAATATTACACTCATGTATTTATATTTTATGCTTCAAATAAATTCATTTCAAATATGTTGTATGTGTTTGCAATAAATATTGGGAAGATAGAGGTTATGCAAAGATGGTAGGGAATTAAGCAAATCTAAAGCAATTATTCTAGTTGAATCGGATATAGACCATGTGCTAAGAAAAATATATAAGAGAAAAAAGAGAATATACAAACAATAAAAGGTAGGAGAAAACATATAATACAAATTTTAATTAAATTAGTTAATGATTTTCTA